ACTTATTCACAGGAAGACAGCATCCACCTACTAAACCTTTTGGCCTTTAAAGGGATAGAGTCTCCAAAGAAAAATTCTCAGGTTTGATACTCATGGCATTCTATCTCAAAACAAGGACTGCATTTGGATCCAGATGAAACTCCTCACAACTGCTTACTGTTCACAGATCACATTTAGACTCTTTGTGACCATTTATAGGAAATTCCTGTAACCAATGAAGATTTTTCATGGTTTACTGATGGTTCTTATTTAAAGGATGAAAATGGTAAATATGGTGTTGGGCAGAACACCATACAGAACCCAACAGGCTACATCACTTGAGTGGTTCCTTAGCCAAGGGCAAGACAGCAGACATTTGAACCTACAGCTGGCATGTTTGGGGGGACAGTTCATGATTTTGGAATATTATGGAAACGATGTGTCCTTACTTCCAATGGGGATAAGATTAAAAATGGCTCTTATGTGCCATATTTTGCCAGTGGCTCTGGTTATTTTTAAGGTTCCTGTACATTCCAGACTCAGCTCCCTGAAAGCCAAAGAAAACCACCTCGCTGATATTTCTACCTCGCTGTTATTTCCACACACAGGACAGCTCGCTGCTCCCGAGGAGATCAATAGCCCAACTCTGGTCCAAAGGGTGCTCTTCCACATGATAATGTGGAAGAATTGACCAGAGATACCCAACAATTGGTCCCAGAGGGAGAAAATAACATTGGAAATCTAATAACTGTTGGTTGGATAGGAAGAGAGAGCTCTGGTTTGGACCAAATAATAACCTGGCCCTACCAGAAATTCTAAAACTCTCACTACTTACCACCAGACAAGCATTTAACCTACTGGCAAAGTGACGGCATTCGTGAAACAACACCAGTAGGGAAATATTAACAAGGCAACAAAAGGTACCTACCTTCCTGTCCTAACTGTCCAAAGTACAATCCACAGAATCCCACTCACGCAAATGGATTTCACACAGCTTGGCTGTCTCATGGACATAAACATGTTTTTGTCACGGTTTGTGTGTTTTCTTACTGGACAGAAGTTTTCTCTTGCAGATAGGCCACTGCTGCTTCTGTGGCTAAAATTCTGTTAGAAAAGATCATCCCGGGGCGCCTGGGTGGCTTAGTCGGTTAAGCGTCCGACTTTCGCTTAGGTCATGATCTCGCGGCTCGTGGGTTCGTGCCCCGCATCGGGCTCTGTGCTGACAGCTCAGAGCCTGGAGCCTGTTTCAGTCTGTGACTCCCTCTCTCTCTGACCCTCCCCTGCTCACGCTGTCTCTCTCTCTCTCCTAGATATAAATAAAAGAAAAAAAAACATTAAAAAAAAATTAAGAAAAGATCATCCCTGCCTGGGAGCCCCTCCTGAGCTGCATAGGACCAGGGAACCCATTTTACTGGCTGGTGGCTTTGACAAGTCTGTGCTGTTCAGACAGTTTTACAGCACTGTCTCCATGCATTCCTTCCTCAATCCTCAGAGTTTGTCAAATGCACAAACAGCACTCTTAAGACTTTATTGGCACAATTTGTAGAGACCTTCCAAATACCTTGGTCAAAAGAACTGTCACTGGTCCATCTAACCTTCAGGTCCACTTCCTTGGGAACCCATAGACTCTCACTCTGTGAAGTAGTCACATGAGGCCCAGTGCACTGGGCCTTGCCTCCCTGACCCACAGTTGATAAAAGGAGATACAGGTCAGTACTGTAAAGGCCTAATTACTTCTATTAAAAGTAACCATGATTCGTAGTGCCTGGGCAGCTCAATCCATTGAGCAGCCAACTCTGCCTCAGGTCATGATCTCACAGTTTGTGGGGTTTAGCCCCATATCAGGCTCTGTGCTGATATAGTGGGGAGCCTGCTTTGGATTCTCTGTCTCCCTCTGTGCCCCTCCCCAGCTAGCTCTCTCTCTCTCTCTCTCTCTCTCAAAAATAAATACACATTAAAAAAATAACCATGCTTCAGTAGAGCAATCTTTTTCACAGTGTGCCCCTGGGATATGAAGCATCATATCTTGCAACCTGGAAATTTCATTTATGGGAAAAAGACACATCCAGAATGACTCTCTTCAATCTCACTGGAAAGGCCCTTATCAGGAACTTTGAACCAACACTCATGCTACCAAACTCCAGGGAGTAAACTCTTGGACTCACACGACGCATCTGAAGACAGTACCAACCCCCGACTGGCCCTGCACACCACCTGGCGTCCTGAGAGTAAAGACTTCCCAGAATTGAAGCAGCTGACATCTGATGAGACACAGTCCCAAGATGTCCAGACAGGCCCGTGTACCTTTTTCTCACTGCTGCTACATCTTTCTTTCATGGAAAGACAATGCCCTTGGCTGCATTTTCCAAACTCTTGAGAAAGAGAAAACTATTTTGATTGTGGCCTTTTGTAAACAGCTTCATCATGAGCCTATGACAAATTCATCTTTTCAGCTGTTTTTTCTGAAGGGTTAGAAGGTTCAAGATTCACAAGTCTTTCCTTCATCTAAACTAGTATCTGGCTCTGGATTCACATCCAGATTCCTGGCCTCTGAATTTGCAATCTTACAGGCTGTCTGATTGGGTAACATTTGTTTCCAAACAGTTCTTTTGAGATAACAACACAGTTTTAACACATCTTTGAGGTTTTCCTACTGCAAAAAGTTCGTCAGGTATTGGGGCGCCTGGGTGGCTTAGTCGGTTAAGCGTCCGACTTTCGCTTAGGTCATGATCTCGCGGTTCGTGGGTTCGAGCCCCGCGTCGGGCTCTGTGCTGACTGCCGGCTCAGAGCCTGGAGCCTGTTTCAGTCTGTGACTCCCTCTCTCTCTGACCCTCCCCTGCTCACACTGTCTCTCTCTCTCTCTCCTAGAAATAAAAAAAAAAAAAAAAAAAGTTCGTCAGGTATTGCCTCATGTTTACACCTGCACTCTAGCTCCCCAAATGCACCTGATTCTGTGTGTTCTCATGGTGTTTGCTCTTCTGCTTCCATGGCTGCTTCAAGCGGGGACTTCCAGGAGGCATGTGTGGCTCTAGGTTTGCCTTGTGGGGAGAATTCTTCTCCCCTAAGTCAGAACAAGTGCCAACAAATATTTCAGTGGGCTGTTTTCAGACCTAGGGTCCTAGTTTAGAACGATGACACAATTTGGGATTGTAGTGTTACTTTTTCTGTTTTGTGTGTTTACGTTTTGCATTTTGTTGCCTATCAAACTTCTGTAGAAATCATGTACCCAATCCATGATCTCCAATGCTTATGATCTTGATAAACATGCACTAGAGATTGGAAGCACCTGGGAGTCCCCCCTCCTGACCTTGTTACTCTGTGTGGCCTTAAGTGGTTCCTCCATCATGGAACATGACAACCAGAAAAGGTTCTCTGTGGCAGCCAGAGACAAAAGCATTAAATATGGAAAACCTGACTCTTGATCAGGATTCTTTCAAAGAATTATCTTGATCAAACGGAATAAATTTGAAAATTAATAAAAGGAAATCGCATTTAGAATGGAGTCAGGAGGGTGGGCACCTGGGTGGTTCAGTCGGTTGACGGTCTGACTCCTGCTTAGGTCATGATCTCAAGGCTGAGCCCAACATCGGGCTCACTGATGTCAGCCTGTTAGCGCAGAGCCTGCTTCCCACCCTCTGTCCCCTCTCTCTGCACCACCCCCACTTGCACTATCCTCAAAATAAATAAAAATTTTTTTAAATGGGAGTCAGGAGGCCAGCAGGGGGAGCGCTCACACCCAGCACTAGTCAACAGAGCCAACAGGCAGGTAGACACACCTTCAAGGTGGATACTACTTCACAACCTTAGCAAGAGGAAGCAAGATTTTTCTCTTCCTGGGGCAACAGCTCAGCCAATGAGAAGCTACTATATTTCCAACTCTTCAGTTTACTCCAATGGACTTTTAGTTTATAACAGCCCTCTCCCCTCCCTCTGTTCCCGTGACTTGCCTGTGGTTTTTCTTGTAGCTAGTTGTCCTAGATTGCAGTGTTATTCCAGAATAGACCCATTTTGCTTGCAAAGTAACTGACAGTTTTATTTTTTGGATTCACAGCGTATACACATACATATACATTAAACACAGTTTTGAGGTGTAATTCACGTACCATACAATTCAGCCATTTGGAGTGTACAGTTCAGGAGATTTTAGTGCATACACAGATGTGTGCAAACATCCCTGCAGTCAATTTTAGAATATTTTCATGGCCCTAAAAGAAACCCAGTACTTTAGCAATCACTTCTCCCAGCTCCATTCCCTTTCCCAGCCTGTGGTGACCATTAATCTGTCTCCATGAATTTGCCTATTCTGGACATTTCGTGTAAATGGATCATACACTAGGTAATCTTTCGTGACTGGCTTCTTTCACTGAGCATAATGCTTTCCAGGTTCACCCTGTTCCTCTTTCAGCCAAGCGATTTCCCGTTTCCTGGGAGACCGCACTCTGCGCAGCCATTCACCAGTTGCGGGACCTCAGGTTGCTCCCCGCCTGGCTGCTACGAATCACGACGCTGCGGGCGTCTGGGTTCGGTTCCGCACAGGCACTTTCTCTCTCCCCTTGGGCACACACCTGACCCGTGAAAGGAGCAGCGGCCTGCCGCGGACTCCGGCTGCAGCCCCGAGCGGCTGGCGGCACCGGGCCCCTCGCGCTTCGGGTAGAGGGTGGGGAGGCCCAAAGGGACGCTGGTGCGACCACGCGGCGCGAAGACGCTCCAGGGGAGCGCGGGCGAGGCTGCGGCGCGGCCAGGGCCGGCGCTCGGAAGGGCCGAAGGGGTCGAGGGTCTCGGGTCCCGCCGCCGGGGCAGGAGGGTCTGGCGTTGCCCCTACGCGCCCGAACGTGAGGAGACGCCAGGGTACTCAACTGGCGGGTTCCGGTTTCCTAGCAACCAAGCGGCATCCTTCCCACCAAGCACTGCTTCTGACCCGCGGCGTCGGAGACTACGAGACCCAGCGTGCCCCGCGGCCTGGCCGCAGGGACTACAAGTCCCACAATGCACCGCCTATCCTTTCTTAGCCGCCCCCAGCCCCTGTTCTCCCAAGCCCCCGCCGTGGGAGCGCCGCGACCCCTTCCCGGCGCTCCTCGCGCCGTGCGCAGAGCGCCCTCGCGGTGACCCGCTGTGCGTGGGGTCAAGGCGCGGGGCGGAGCGGCTGGGCGGGCGCCATGCGGAGGGGTGATCGCAGAGCCGCCGGGGGACCGCGGCCGGGGTCCCCTGTGCCGTCTGGCAAGGCCTCGCTGGAGGAGCCGCCCGACGGCGCGCCCGCCGGCCGAGCAAGCGGGTCGGGCGCGGGCCGCCGCAGCACGGAGTCCGAGGTCTACGACGACGGCACCAACACCTTTTTCTGGTGAGAGGCGGCGGTCGGCGGGGGAAGGGGGAGGCACCGGGGGCGCGAGGGTGGTGGGCATGTCGTGGGGGGGGTGGAGGGGCGCCCCGCCCAGCCGCGGCCGATCCCTCCGGGCGGTCCCGCTCCGCACCTGACACCTGCCCCTTATCCCGGGAGGACTCGGCTGCAGAGTCACGTCGGAAAGGCCCTTCCTGTCCACAGTTTACCTGTGTCCGCTGTCATTTCTCTCTTTTCTTATTTCTTCGCAGCGCTTGCGTCGTACGGAATCGGCTTCTCCCCCCAGCACGTAGCAATAACATTATCACGAGCAACTTCCCACGTGCCAGGAGTTGAGCGATGTTTGTCAAATAAAGGTTCTGTCTCTTTTCAGGTGCTTCTCGAGGAGCCTGCTCTTCAGCCCTCGCACCGCCCTGTGCAAGCCAGGCCCCGGGGTCAGGCCGCCCCCAGTCTGCCTTAACGGGTGTCAGGGAGGGAGAGGCCCCCGGGAGCATTCTCGGCACCCCAATCCCCCCAGCCTGTGTTGGAAAAGTTCACGCTCTTGCTTTATGCTGAATTTGGCACTTCTTATGTGAGGTCCCAGGCAGGGCTCCTATGCCACACGGCTCTGTGACCTTGAGCTAGTCTTCATCTTTCTGAGCCTCTCTTTCCTCCTCTGTAAGCGAGAGAAACCCCGGGTACTAGACAGCATGGTACCTGGGGGCTGGGGTTTGGTTTTTCTTTGTCGGATGCTCAGTTCCTGTCTCCTGAACAATACAGTGCCTGCATCGGAGACCTGTGGTGGGCCCTGAGGGACACAGGTGAGGTAGATGTGGCGGCCAGCTGCAGAGGGAGTGCCACATGGAAGGAAGGAGCCTTTCAGAGACCCGAATCATGGGATTATCCCAGAAGATCTGATCAGGGAGGGTGGAGAGCCCGATGGGAGTAATCGGGTGTTTCAGGGGAAGGTGCTGCCGCATGGGTAGAAACCACAGAGGGGGTGCGTGCAGGGCCCAATGGGTGTTGTGGCCTGTATGTATCAGACTCAGGAGAGGTGTGGGCGGTGGTGGGCGTTCATAGGAGTGCAGCCCTGCCCTGGATGAAATCGGGGTCTCCCGAGTGGCTGCCGAGTGGGAGCTCATGCACGTATTTGGGGGCCCCAAGTGGCTGCCCTTTGCTGTTCTAGGGATTGCGGCAGAGAACCAAACAAGCTTGGGTTCCGGCATAAGCCTGGAGCCTCAGAGGCATGAGATATACTGGCTGAAGGGATGCAGGAGCGGGTGGAACGCACACCTCACCCGGTGCAGTGAAAAGCAGATGCTGACTGCAGCCCTCGGGTCGCCGCAGAGGTGCTTGGTCAGGCGGGTGTTGGACACACAGATACGTGCTGTAGCCTGAGTTTACCTGTGCGGAGGGCTGGTGGGGGCCTGGAAGGAGGGAGTGTGACAGGGCTGGCGAGTTTCAGGGCCTGCCTCGTGGATCTGGGTGGATGGCTCATGCCTCCCACCACACGTGTGAAGGGTGCCGTGCCCTGCCGCGGGTCGGTGATGCGTTCTGTGGTCTGTGCGGGTTCTTGCTGCATCCCAGGCCTCCCCCCTCAACCTGTGATGGGGAAGAAGCTTCACGTTTCTTCCGGGCCGGTAACAGATGCCTGCTTGGTGAGGGTTACGTATTCTTACCCGTAGAGCTTAGCCACTCGCCACCTTATTAGTCTCTGTTCACTGACTTGCTATGTTAGGGTTTTAAAAACTTTTATTTTGTCTTTTAAAGAATTTTAATAACGAGTGCTACAAAAAAACTCTCGTAAAGATTAACAGTATATGTTTGTGGAAATGATTTTATGTTCCGGAATTACTTAAGGGATCTTTGCAGGATTCAAAACCTTGCTTTTAGGGTTTTCCGCAAAGATGCCCAGTGACAGTGCTTGTGCTGGGCCATGTGGGAGGACTCCCGAGTGTCTTTGTTATCAGTTGTTTTTTTTTGTTTGTTTGTTTCTTTGTTTTTTTGTCATCACTTGTTGGCCAGGGGCTCTGTAATTAGTGTTCAGGGTTTGCCTGCGCCTTGAGCTTGAGACTGGGCTCCCAGAAATGAGGCCTCAGGGAGCGGGCGTGAGGACTGCCGGGGTCTGTGGTGGTAAGGACACCGCATCTTTTCCCGGGTGTGATGGTGTCCGGTGGGGAACCGCGGACTCCGAGGAATGGCACAAAGATGTGTTAACTCTCATTTTCTAAAGGTTATTTGGGAGACACTTGGAGACTCGATGTCCTGAAGAGGTGCCACTGAACATTGCCACCTGTAGGTGGAAGATGGGCGAATTGCTATCGGAGCAGCACACTTCCTAACCAGCTCCTAAAGCAGGGAGGGGAGGGATCGTTGTGACATTGTGGGAGTGCTTGCTGTATGCTTGTGTCTTATAACACTGGGCCTTGGGTGAGCACTCTCAGTGAGCCCCAGGACCCTGTTGTCCACAGCAGTGGCGAGAACATGCAGAGGTGACCTCAGTGCCTCAGGTTCTGGAAAATGTCTTTCTCAGTCATTGTGGGGTAGGGGTTTGCCAGCTTTGCCCAGATCTGGGAAGCTGCACTCTACGGCTGGTTCCTTTTTGGTAGTATTGGTCAGCAGCCGGGGAGGGTCAGTGTCATGGTTGCAGGCACCTCTGGCATGCCTGGGGCAGGCCCTCTGGTCTTGGCCTTCCCTGGCCGAGGCTGTCTTATGCTCTCAGTGTGCCAACCACACCTTCATGTTCTCTCTGAGTGGTTTGGCAGGCCTGCCTTCCTGCCCACTTGGCGTAATGAATGTGGCCATCTCGAGAGAGGGAATGACAGCTGGGTATTTTCCACTCAAAGTGGCAGGGAGCCAGCCGTCCTCACGCCCTCGCCCTTGCTCAGTGACTGGAGAGTCACAGGATTTACGGCTGCTCAAAGCTCCTCTGAGTTCTCTACTAGCCACGAAACCAGAGGATGTGCTGGTCTTCCCAGCAGCAGGGAAGGTGGGACAGGACGCGTCTGGGAGGGACAGGAGGTCCACACGTGTGGAAATAGTTCTCTGACAGGCGAAGAAAGCTGCTCAAGACCTCAAGTCTCCTGAGTGGCCAGGCTGATAATAAAAATCCGTATTTCCCCACTGTGCCCCATTGCCTCTCCAAGGAAAAATGTCAAAGCAGGAAATGTAGACTTTACAGTAAAAATGGCAGGAAAGCACAGGCCGTGGGTTGAGCAGTGGTCCGAAAGAATTCACGGCCTCCTGTCCTTCCTGGATGCTGACCTGGGACTCCCCTTCGTCGCCACAAGCTGCCTGCTGAAACTGCTCTGTCAGGGATCGAGTCCTGACCATGCAAACCCTGCTTCTTCTTACTAATAGCCTGCGCCTGCATTTCTGCCTTCATAATGTTTCTTCACCAAAGTGCCTCTGTATCTGTGAGTTTGGGTTCTGTGTCTAGATTCCACACACGTGAGAGATCACATGGTGTTTACCTTTCTCTGATCTCCGCGCAATGCCCTCGAGGCCCACCTGTGTTGCACATGGCAGGATTTCATTCCTGGGTGTGGCCGCGTGATATTCCATTACGTGTACACACGTCTCCTTTATCTGTTGTGGGCACTTGGGCTGTTTCCGTGTCTTGGTTGTTGTAACACAGCGGTTACATAGGGTGCAGGTATCTTTTCAACATGGCAGGCTGTTTCCTTCCAGTACCCAGTGGTGGGATTCCTGAGTCTTAGGGTAGTTTTATTTTCGTTTCTTGAGGAACCCCCATACTTCCATAGTGCTGGTACCAGTTTGCGTTCCCACCCACAGCGCACAGGGGTTCCCCTTCCTCCTCTCTCTCTTCAACACTGGTGATTTCTCGTCTTTTTGACACTAGTCATTCTGACAGGTGATGTAACGTCTCACTATGGTTCTGATTTGCATTTCCCGAATGATGAGTGATATCATCGAGCACCTTTTCGTGTGTCTGTTGGCCATCTGTGTCACTGGGAAAGTGTCTACTCAGACACTTTGTTTAATCAGATTGTATTTTGGATGTTGAGTTGTGATGTCTTTTTATATTTTAGATATTATATTAGCTCCTTGTCAAATACATGATTTGCAAATTTTTTCTCCATTTCAGTAGGTTGCCTTTTCATTTTTGATGGTCTTCTGTGCTGTACTGAAGGAGGGAGCCTTCTTAGAGATGGATTTCATCATAATTTAATCATAAAAATTTTACTTTCTAGTAGCACTTGATTTTAGCAGTCCTGAAGTCTGTTATGCTGTGAGACGATGGTGCCCTATGCCCTTCCTCTGGGTCCTGGGCTTCTGCCGCCTTCCTGCCTCGTGTGGGACAGAGAGAGTCCTACTTACGCCTTATTTCTGCTTCCACAGGGCTGGGGGTGACTGACTGAATGACAATGAACATTTATCTCAAGGGACAAAACGTTGTTTTTAATTTTCAGGTAATCCTTGTGCTTTTACGAGGATGGAAAGATCTATAACCAGAGCTTCCCGGGGCTCCTCACGGAATGTGTCTTAGCCCAGAGAAACACCAGGAAGATTATCATGTTTGTGGAAAGTAACGTGAAAGAAGCGAGAGGGTTGAAGTAATTTTTTAAGACATAGGACAAAAGCTGGTGTGCCGCAGAGATACGGTCCCGGTGCCTGTGCATGAGGCGGAGGAGGGTGCGCAAGGGACCGCGGGGGGTGCCCAGCTGGCCCGCGCACAGCACTTTGGCGTCCTGGTGTCCCTGAAGCTGTGTGGATGGTCCTGGGCCACAGTGTGTCAGCGAGGTGATCCCTTTGCCCTTCTAGTCTCTTCCAGAACATGTGGTTGCTTCTCCTCAAACTGACTAGCTCTTTTTCCCTTCTGTGTCTGGTGCCAGTTTGTGGGCAGTTAATCTAATTTACTCTAATTCTTCCTAAGGCTGGGACTCCTTCCTGTCCATTTTCTCATAGACGCTTGCCCTGCGGAGAACCCTCTGGGCCCCTGGGACGGTCCCGTCCCTTCCCTGGGCAGGTGCTCCTGTGCGCCCCGCACACTTGTCGGCCTGCTATGGGCACTTTGCCCAGTTCTGGAGGCCTGGAGCCCCTTGGACCTGTCGCTGGTGGACAAACACTGGTCACTTCAGAAACGTGCACCCTTTGGAGAAACCCATTGAGAACCCCTGCGAATGGGAATTGGGCCCAGAGGGTTCTTGCTCTGTGCTCCTTACCTATGCTGGTCTCTGGCTGGTGCCTTCTCGAAGGTGCATGGGACGGGCATTCTGCTCTGCGCCCTGTACACCAGTCAGGGGCTCCCCCAGGCACACATCCCTGGATCCTGACCTTGCACCAAAAATGGTCAATTCGTAACATTTTAGGGTAAGTCAGCATACAGTGAATCTGTTTTGTAGCTTCGGTGCACGTAGCTTTCCGGAACCATGGCGCAGAACAGGACCTCACTCCGGCCTGGTCTCTGTCGTCGTAGTTTGGCCTTTGGAGAAGGCCACGCAAATGGGGTCACACAGTGAGTGCGCCCTGGAGACTGGCCTCCCAGCGACGTGCCCACGGCCCCCACAGCTGAGCTGTATCGCGTGAGGAGCGGCCCCGGTGTCCGGCTGACTTAGGCCGTGTTCAGTCAGGGACGCTTCTGCAGTTGGGCCTGCCGTCGTCGCTGCTTCCGTCCCCCTCCCTCTCCTCGCATGGGTCGCGTGCGCCGCTCCTGCTGACGTGTCGGTTGGGTTACGTCTCTGCTGTTGCTGCAGGGATGCGGCGGGCCCTCCGCTTCCTGGTCCTGGCACCCGGGCTCCGCCACGTCAGCTTCATGTTGGTCCACGCCGTGTCTCCTCCGGCCACGGTGGCCCCATCACGGTGCTACAGTGGCTGCTGGCAGCAGGTAGACGCGTTTTGAAGAGCTGGTGCGGAGAACGGCCTGTTTGGGCAGACATTTTCCGTTTCTCCTGCTCTCTCCGTCCATGGCGGCCTGGCCCCTCTCGTCCCTCAGCGCTCCGCTTGGAGCACCCCTGCTTCTCTCCTTCTCTCCTCTTTCCTGCCCAGAGAGTGTTTGGTCCGTTCCTGAAGGACGTTTCTGCTGGGTAGGGAAGCACCCTCGTTTAGAGATGAGGACACTGAGGCTCACTGTCCCCTGGATTTGGGATCTGGGTCTGCGACCGCCTTTGCAAGAAGTCGTTAGGAAGCGGAGAGCCAGGGAGTGTGACGGGGACGTGTCAGCCGCTCAGCCTGGGCCCGGGGCCCACACGCGCCGTCTCTCTTTGGGTCCGGGTGTCCCTTCCTCTCTCCTCCTCGTTTCTTGGGCTGTCCTTTCGAATCTCTCAGATGTGATCACTTCGCGAATTGTGAGGCTGGTTGTATCTCGCTCTGTGAAAACCGCCACGTTTACCTACTGCCTGGTCTCTGCCCCTCGGACGCCAGCCCGGGCCCACCCTCCTCGTCCGGACAGCAGCCTGCAGCCTCCCACTGCCGCTGCCCTCCTGGCAGCCGCTGACCTGGCCAGCGCAGACCCAGTGGGGAGCCGCCTGGCCGCTGGGTCAGTCGGTGTTTCTGGGCCGTGGCTCGTGCGAGCGTGTCACAGGCAGAGGAGCGCGCTGGGCCCTGACGCGCTGTGTGTGTGTTTGGGTTTCAGGCGGGCCCACACCCTCACTGTGCTCTTCATCCTCACCTGCGTGCTCGGCTACGTGACCCTGCTGGAGGAGACGCCTCGGGACACGGCCTATAACACCAAGAGGTAACCTGGGCCCCAGCCTGGGTGGGGCAGGCGCCTGGCGTCGTTGCGGGGGGAGTCCCCGCTCTCCGCGGGCTGGCCGGTGGTTCGCGAAGCCGGTGTCCACTCACAGGCCGGCCGGGCCCCCAGTGTCCCCGTGCATGTGCCTGAAGCATCTCTCCCAGGCCGCCTCTCGGAGCTCCATGGCGTGTTTACCCCTCCTCCGTCTGTCTGGGGACACTGAGGGCGCCATCCCTCGCGGGGCCTGCAGCTTGTGAGGGGCTCACATGGACGACAGACTGGAATGTGCTGCAGCTGCTCCAGTGATGGAGCCCAAAAGGGAGTTCTGGTCACTCGTTGCGGTGGGAGGATCATTTTCCCCACCCGGCCACCCGCAGGGACCTGGGTGCTGCCTCAGTGTCCGGCAGGACCTGTGGGTGCCGGTCACATGCCCGGGTTGTCACCTGTGCTTCTGACCAAGTGGCTGTACGTCAGAGGTTTCCTTCCCTGACCTCCTTCTTTTTCCTACTAATTCGCTAGCCTGGCTCATAGAACTCGGGGAACCATGGTACTAGATCGCCGGCTGAAACAAGTCAGGGGCAGCCAGGGGGACGAGCCGCCCAGGGCAAGGTCTGAGGAAACTCTCCTCTGACCTCTGCCTTCACAAGCCCAGGGGTTCTCCGAACTTTGTGCTTTGGGTTTTATGGAGGATGACTGACTATCTCATCACCTTTGGTGACTGAACTCAACCTTCAGCCCTTCTCCATCCCCGGAGGTCAGGGAGTGGGGTAGAATATTCCAGCCCTCCAGTCCCGGTGCTGGTTCTCCTGGCCACCAGTCCTCACCCTCAGGTGAGGGTCCAAGAGTCACCTCCATAACAACACAGGACACCTTTATCACTTCAGAAATTCCAGTGGTTTTAAGGATTCTGTGCCAGACTGGGGGGTGGAGGCCAAATATATGCTTCTTATGATAAATCACAGTGTCAGAGCCTGTGAGTTCGGGCACCTTGGAGTGTACAGATTTTTGTGTGTGATGGCCAGGGACAGTTGTTTCTCTTCAGCTGCTACTGTTCTTGAGTTCTGATACTGATGCTTTTTGCATTTTGCAGGTCAGGAGGCAGGTAACTGCCTTTTCAGTGTTATTTCCAGACATGGACTAGCTGGCCGGTCGTGTTCTTTGCTGGAATCCCATGGATTCTGAGGCCAGTCTTAGAAGTGTGTGAGGAAGATTAGCTGGTTTTAGAGCTGATTCTCAGGAGGTCTCTGCACTGGATGGACTCCTCCAGCCCCAGGAAGCCCTCGTTGCAACTCTGATCTGCTTGCCCTGGTGTGACGGGTACCAGGGCAGGGGCAGAGGCAGGGGCAGTGCCGGAGGGCCAGAGGTCAGAGTTGGTCGGTGAGGCCAGGCTCATAAAGTCTGGGTGTTAGTGTCGGCCCAGAAGTGCCTCGTGAGCACAACTCTTTGCTCACAGGCATCAGTAGTCTGTGGGGATGCCAGGTGCTCTCTGTCAGCGGTGTGCCCGGCCACACATGTGTGCGCACGCCTCAGAGCCCCCAGCTCATCTCCTAGGCCTCAGCCAGAGGGTGGGGGCTGCTCTCAGCGCCGTGTCCTCGGCCAGAAGGCCTCCCCCCTCCTGGTTTCATGCCCTGCGGGCCCTCCTCCTGCATCTCCCACGCTGCCCCCCAGGAGGCTTGGCTGGGTCTTCCTCTTGTTTCCTGAGCCCTGGGTGTCACCTTGAGTCCAGCACATCTCCACATGGCACTGCCTGTTACTTGGTGTCCCACTGCCGCAGGTTAATGGAGTCCAGAAATAAAAGAGAGAGCTTGGCCCCTCGACAGGGCCCCAGGTCGCCCTCACTGCGGTGGGTGCCCACATCGGGGACACTGAAGCTGTGGATGCAGGAGACAGGCTGTGGCAGGAGCCCAAGTTTGCTCAGCAGGTATTTCCAAGTAGAATGTGGCCTTTTCTATGAATTTGTCTGTTAGGACCAGGTGTCTGCTGGGCACAGATGGGCAGAGAGACCAGAAAGCAGGACTTGGTCACATTCAGGAGGTGTCCCCCCACGGCTGTGAAGTCAGGCCAGAGATGAACAGTTCCAGTGACACCAAGCAAGAGTTGTCACAGGTTAGAGTCCACGTGGGGCATCCTGGGAGTGCCCTCTGAGGGCAGGGCATTGGTTCTTACTCATCAGATGCCTCCAGCCTAGACCCTGGGGGCTGTGTGTCTAGGCAGCAGCCTGGAGCCACATGGGCGTGTCCCACCTCTTCACCTTGTACTGGCTCGCATCTTGAGCTGCCCCTGCACACTGGTGGCTGGGACACTGAGCAACAGAGGCCTGGGCCCTCGCCCAGCAGCCCCCATACCCAGTCATTGAAGGAGAAGCCTTGAGGGGGTTGGGGATGCAGGGGCTGGTGGACCCTTCGCTACTCTGAAGTTCTGTGTCCTGGGGACCCTGGAAGTCTTCACAGCTCACATTCTCTGTCCCTTTTGGCCTCCAGGGACAGAGAAGAGCCACCCTCCTGGCCCCATGATTCTGCAGGTGGTCCCTGGAAGCCTTGCTTCCGCCCCATTCTCACACCACCTGTGGCTCTACTGCTGCTTCCCAGGAAAGTCTCCCCGTCCCCCCCCCCCCATGCACCTGCCTGGCTGGGGCAGGCACCTCCCGGGCACCCCCCCAGCCCTGCCCCCGCCCCTTGGTATCACATCAGAGCTTTTGATGCCCTTGGGCTTACGTTTTATGTAAAGAAATGCTTCTAAAAATTACGCTTGCTGTTAAAAAAAAGAAAAAATAACTGGGGCGCCTGGGTGGCTCAGTCGGTTAAGCGTCCAACTTCGGCTCAGGTCATGATCTCCCGGTTCGTGGGTTCGGGCCCCGCATCAGGCTCTGTGCTGACAGCTCAGAGCCTGGAGCCTGCTTCAAATTCTGTGTCTCCCTCTCTGCCCCTCCCCGCCTCATGCTCTGTCTCTGTCTGTCAATAATAAATAAATGTTAAAAAAATTTTTTTAAATAAATAAATTAAAAAACCACCACCACCAATGTTTACATTGTTAAAAATGTAGGAAATTGGCTTGTGTTCCATAAGCTCCCCATTTCATCTTGTGTGTCATTGTTCTTTTTATGGGTCTAACAACTTCTGTTCCACTGGAGGAGTAGGTTTTTTCTCTTGAAGTCAAGTTTATCCACCTGTAATTTAATACAACATGTATCTAATTAGAGCACGGCTCAGTGTACCTGCCTGTGGAGGTGGTCCTCTGCACCGGCCATCTGTCCCCGTAGGTCCCTCATGTCGACTGTACCATCTCGTGTATATGGAGTCACCCGCCCACACACAGTGTTTGGCTTCTTCCACTGGGTTTGATGGTCTTGTGCCGTCCGTTGTGGCTGGGCAGGCAGGCTCATTGCTGGTGGTGTTCTGCTGTGCGGATGGGCCTCACCCTGTCATCACCATTGGTGACATTTGGGATGATGACGTGCATGTACCAGTGTACACACAGATACAGAGTAAATTACTATATGTAAAACGTGAACATATTTTGCATATTTAGAACAGACAGGAAATATAACATGCTCTGAATACTGAGGAGGAACAAAGCTGGAGGAATGACACGACCTGGCCTCGCTTTAGGGCTACATTGGCCAGTGTGGTGCTGGCGAACCGGTCAGCCAGAGCAGGTAGGGAGTGTGGCGGTCAGGTGGAGCAGGTAGGGGGCAGGTGGAGCAGGTAGGGGCAGGTGGGGAGTGCGGCGGTCAGGTGGAGCAGGTAGGGGTGGGTAGGGAGTGCAAGCAGTCAGGTGGAGCAGGTAGGGGGCAGGTGGGGAGTGCAAGCGGTCAGGTGGAGCAGGTAGGGGGCAGGTGGAGCAGGTAGGGGGCAGGTGGAGGTGCGGCGGGCAGGTGGAGCAGGTAGGGGGCAGGTGGAGCAGGTAGGGG